CAAGAAAAAAAAAAAAAAAAGCATTCAATTTTTATGGTATTCTGTAAGTAATCAGCTTCCTTCTTACTGATGGAAAGTCATCATAACATGGACCAATATTATGTATATCCCTTGATATGCAAACATTTGTTTTACATTAGCACACAATCAATTAGTTATCATATCCACAGTTCTCCCAAAATCTATATCATAGAAGATAAATATTTAGGGGCTGGCATGTGGTTTGGTGGTTAAGGTGCTAGACTCTCACGTAGCTGACCATGATTCGAGTCCCTGGACCTGGTGGCTTGCTCGCTCGCTAGCTCGCTCTCTCTCTCTCATCAAATTAAAGAATAAAAAAATAAAATTAAATAATTATTTTTTAAAAAGAAGTATTTATTATTCAGTTTACTCACACTTTTGGTCTTATACACTGGTAAATTTCTTTTTTTTTTTTTTTCTTGAGAGGTTTTTGCTATAGAGTACATGCACTCGCCAGAAAGACAGAGACAGACAGAAAGACAGAAAGCGAGAAACCACCCCCCAGAGGGGATGGCCATGCCACAATCCTTTCTCCTCCATTCTCCTCTTGGGATCTTGGGTATGCACGCACACGCGCCCAGCCTGAGTTTAAGCCACCGGGTCCAGGACTCAAACTACAGTCGACTGCATGGGAGTCCAGCAACACAGCCATTATGCCAAATGCAGGTCCCTCTTTTTCTTTTTTAGAGAGATTTTGCCTATAGGGTGCTTGCCCTCACTGGAAAGAGAGAAGGAAAGTGAGAAATTACCATCCAGGGAGGATGGCCATGCGACAATTATTTCTCCTCTATTCTACCCTTGGGATTTGGTGCATGCGTGCAAATGTGCCCAGCATGAGTTTTAAGCTGCTGGGTACAGAACTCAAGCCAGTACGTGTGAGTCCAACAACATGACCATTATACCATCTGCCGGTCCCTACACTGCTATATTTCTTTAAAATCTCTCAGAATTGGCACGAGTTAGTGATGTGATGGTGAAGAAATTGGACTCCCACATGGTCGACTGAGGTTCAAGTCCCAAACTTGACAGCTTGCTTTCTTGCTTTCTTACTTTCCTCCTGTCTTTGTCTCTGTCTCTCTCTGGTGAGCACACAAGCCCTGCAACAAATTTTAAAAATTAATAATAATGATAAGTAAAGTAAGTAATTTTTAGAAAAAGCTCTCAGTTTAAATCTGTTTGAAACACTATTCTCAAGTTTGGAAGCAATGTTTTGTCTGTCATGATAATCTCAAATTATCCAAAGCCTTTAAACACAGTTGATTCTTAGAAATTCTTCCATCTATAAAACATGAGAATTATAACCAAATTAACAAATCAGATATCAGAATGCCAAAAATTAAGTCATTAAAAGGGAATCCAGAGAAAGAGCCAGTTGTGAAAGAACAGGAAGTGATGTACACTGCCATTTTGTAGATGAACTATTTAGAAACATAAGAAGTGCCATACTAGTGTGGAATCAACCCAAACTAATAGCTCAGTATTTTCTTTCTCACACTGGCATCAAAGGTCTTCAGAAATAAACTTCAGGCAATTTTCTCTTAATTAAGAAATTACCTAATTGATCATGAACATATTTTGGTCACTTTTAGTTAGAGTTCCTATCAGCAGTACTAGAAACAGGGTTTCTTTTTAGTAGTCCTAAAGAGTACCTCTTAGTTCTAGCATGCTGACATATAGCAAGTAGTTAACCTATGCCTGTGATCCTTAAGTTTGGTGGCCTTTATTGATAAATCCTCTTTGCCTGCTCCTTTCTAAGATAAAAAATCACTATTTACTGAGTGTTAGATTTGAAATCATACATTCTAGTATACATGAATGACTTATTAACGAGAAACCATAATAGAGAGAGTTAGACTTGATGGTATAATTGGTCACATAGGAGGAGAACACTAGACATCACAACACGTGGTTTATGCCATGAAATAAAGATTCAAATAAGAGTGTTAGGTTTAATGAACTGAGATAAACATCAAAAGAGGATAAAGAGAATTCCATTTTCTGAGGGGAAAAAATTATTTACATACCACGTCTCTTACATCAAAATCATGAAATAAGACGATAGAAACTAACTACATCTTGATGCTAAGGTACTACTAACGTCTTTAAATCTCTGCCTTAAAACAGGTTTGAAAACGCAACACACACTAAAAAAGCTCTAATGGACATTTAATGACAATATAAAATGTTAATGGCATTCGGGAATATTTAAAAGTAAGTCATCCACTAAGAGCTTAAACACCAAATATAACTTTTGTTAAAGCAAAATATCGTTTCAATTCATATCTGTAAACATTTTCGTCTTCATTATAAAAAAATTTAACTATATTAATATTTACATGGGACATCTGGAAATCACCAGTAAACCTAAACAGTTAAAAAAAATTAACTGGCAACATATCAGGACTAATTCTAGACTTGAAAACTACTTTGTGTTCACAAAAAGTCTCTGTCAACACACTTCTAGAATGCTAAATTTTAAAATTTTTTTAATTTTTCTACTCTACTAATGATCACACCAAGTACTACTGTAAACCAGATAAGATGATTTGTTTTAAAACAAGTAAAACATGAAGCAAAAGAAAAAAAAAAACTTACTGACTATGGAATACAGATCATAGAATAATTAAGCAGATTAGTGTTTATTATTTTGCATTTCCTTACGAAACAAAGCATTTGCTACAGAAAGGTTTGTAACCTAATGGCTTCCTGAAATTCCTATTTCAATATTATGCAAAATAGAATCAACCTTAAATGTCCATTAGACAGTCTGTTTATACATAATAATCTTTAGTAATTCTTCAAGAGCTACAAAAGTCATAGGAATAAGAATAAAGAGCAAATGAGGGGATACAAAATCATTTTATCTGAATCCTAACAAAAACCCAATTTGTGCTCTCTAGCTCTCTCTCACACAAATGTCAATCCAGACATCTCTCTCTCTAAGAGAGAGATCAAACTGTTCTAACATGAGAGCCCCTCTGGAGAGGCCATATTCCCCAACAGTAACAACAGAAATAGATATACTGCCCATAGACAATCTTGGGGGGAAAGTATTAAAACGGTACTGTTATCGATTTAAAAACCAAAAGAGAAAAGAGTAACCTTTCCGAAGGAAGCGCCATTACTTCCCTCGGCTCCCACAGACCCGTGTGTACATGGGTCTGTGTGTGAAGAAACTGCTTTGGACTTCTGCAGCATTGCAGTAGAGAATGGGGAAGGGGGAAGGGTTGGGGGAGAGAAACGCTTCCATCACCCCTACAGAAGAGGGGAATAGATTTCCTGAGCGGGGGAGGGGAGTGGCATGAACCCAGCGGACGACCCAGAGCGGTCTCCCTCCCTGAGAATACCCAGACACTACAAAGGAGAAGGAAAGAGGGGCAGAGGACCAGAAGGGAAAGGGACCTAGCGCCTTTAAATCAGGGTGCACATCAACCCGGTCTCCCTAAGAGGGCCACACCTTCCTCGAAACATCCCCTTCCACCACCCCTTCCGGTGACCCTCAGGAAAAAGGAATGTACTTGCTCCAGCCTCACAAAACAGGAGGGCGCCCAGCTCACCAGCTCCTTCACCCCACCCACAAAATCACAGACCCTCCTTGTCTCCCTCCTCCACCCCACCCCCACAGCGCTTCCTCCACACAGCGGCCTGAGTGGGCCGATTTCCCCGCCCCCCTCCATGTCTCCCTCTCCCAAAGCAGAGGTGCCCTTACCCTTTCGCCGACAGGTCCGGGGCGGGGTAGACAGGCGCAGCCCCCTGCAGCGCTACGGTGGCCGCGACGCCG